AAAAAAAAAAAAACAAAAATCAATACATCAATTTCCGGAAAAATCCAAGTTCACAACAATCGGTATACAGAGCGGTCGATCCTCGGAAGATGGCCGATGGATTCATGCTCGATTGTTTGGAGCTGCAACAAAAACATATGGAGCAAAAATTAATGGTGGAAATCCAAAAAAGAGAGGTTAGCCATTCGAAGATACAAAGCCAAATTGATGGGTTCAAATCATTAAATCAAAAATTGGATCAAGCCATTCAGGTAGCTGAATCCATTCAACAACTTATTTTCAATCTTCAAAACAAAAATCAGAAAAAAGCAAAACCAACCCAAATCCTGAATCTCCCAGCTCAATCGTACCCAACACAAAACCTTGCCCAATTAACCTCCACTCCAAACCCTCCAAACTCTCAACCATATTTTCATGAAATTCAGGAGAAAAATCCAAGATCAACTTCAAGTGAAAATCAACAACAAAACACCACAACCCAAAAACCAAACAATCTAGAATCACATCCCATTTTTCACGAAATTCATGAGGAAAAAACTGAAGAACATGGAAGCTCAGTGTTGATTGAAAAACCGATCGAAATTTCAAAGCAAAAGCCAATACGTGTGGCTGTGAGCGAGCATACATACCTGGAAACGATACCACATGTCGATGAATTTGTTGAGGTCTTAGATATGGCTGCAGTGGATAACCAAACACCGAAAGATGGAGAGCCCGATGAAGTACTCGATCCTCCTGGTGAAGGTGAACTGGAGCTCCTGGGACTGTTCCAAGTGAGAACGGTAACGTTGAGATGGACGTCCTTCATGATAGATCGTGGAAGACGAGCACGAGGTGAGGGCTGTGTGGAGAAGACGAGGGGCGACAGCCTAAAAAAGGCTTGGTCTCGCCGGCCTCCAAAACATGTCGGTAGGCGTAGATCTCGTTACCGACGGTCCGATACTGAGAAGAGTCACAACGGAGGTCGAGAGAAGGCTCGGATCCATCAAAATTTCCAGGCGTGGTAGGCGGTCGGAAGCTTGGGCTCGCCGGATTTGGAAACACGGTGGTGGATCGGGAATTCAAACTGAAATCATGAGAGAGGTCTGCAGCTACGGAGGTGCCCAGAAACACGCCAGTCGGTTAGAAGCTTGTTGTCGCCGGATAGATGAGGAACGTGGGACGTCGGCGCTGGATTTCGAACCTCGGTTGGGCAAATTTTCTACCCTAGCCATGGATGACTCTGCAGTACGAAAGAAGGTTCGCGATTCCTACATCGGGACTCGATCTGGAAGGAGATCGAGTCGTCGGTGGTCCTTGGGGTGTGGCCGCGATGCGGTGACGACGACGAGGAGACGTGGGATGAAGGAGTGGACCAGATCGATTCCATACGCCATCACCACGATTGTCGAGGAGAAGCAGAACGGGCCACCGAGCTTGGAGGAGAGAGGCGGGCGTTCTGACGCGTGGTCTCGGCGAATTTCTCCGAGGTATGATGGCTGGAGAAGACGATCGGAGCATCGTCGAATTTCTGATGGTGGAGAGGAAAATGACCGAAGCTTCGAGAATAGGAGAAGGTTGGCGATGGGCTATGATTCTTTTGGTGGGCCGAGTGCGGTGAGCGTGGCGTACACGTGGTCACGGAGAATTGCTTGGCGGTGTGATGGCCGGAGACCGGAGCTGAGAAGGATTTTGGATTTCTGGGGAAGAGTGGTCGATGAAAGAAGCTTCGAGAATTGGATTTTGGTGGGGCTGCATCTGAATTTGGGTTGGAGCGTCATTGATTTTTTAATTGAGTGTTGGGCTGCCTTGAGAAAAATTGAATTGGGCCAAGAAGGAAAGGTGGTTGGGCTTTGGGCTGACAAGGGTGATGATTTAGGTTGGTTCATATTATTTGCTGCCCTGATGGACGTGGACTGGGCCGGATCACAATTGGTTTGGGCTATTAACATTTGGAGCGGCCAATTTAATATGCTTGTATGTTGGGTCGTACAAGTTCTTCTCATGCGCTTCATGAAATGCCGAGATTTTCAGCATATGAGTCTCGGGGACGAGACTCTTTCGAGAAGGGAGTATTGTCATGTACCCGATTATGGAGATGAATCGGGTAGGGTGAAGTGAAGGGCCTCTGCTTTATATATATCCGGGCTTAGTTAATATTATGTTACTTTAGGTTTATTAGTAGTTTTATTTTGGGCTTTGTTATTAGTAGATGTAATTGGGCCTATTATGAGATGTAGTAGTTACTAAGTGGGTTGATGTTATTAGGTTTAATTAGAACCCATGAGTGGTTATTAATAGGGTGAAAATAGGGGAAATGAGGAAAGAGGGAGATGCCAAAAATTATCTCTTACTCTCTCAATTTCTCTCTCCTCTAATATTCTCTCTCTTCAATACTCCTCCCCTCACGTGTTCTATCCTTTCTCCCTCCCCATTTCTGCAACTCCTTCTCAACAAAATACAGAAAATCATAAAAAAAAAAAAACAAAAATCAATACATCAATTTCCAGAAAAATCCAAGTTCACAACAATGAATTGACTCGTACTTTATTGTGAAATGGTGCCTATATTTTCATATTGCTATAAGAGCACCCACAATGTATTGGATCTAATTTTACATATGTGGCATATAAATGGACTTAAGTCCTAAATGACATGGACAAAACCCAAGTAAAAAAATTCAAAAGTTATTCAATGCAAAAACTAAAATACTAGGTCTATCATACATGTCAACCAATAAAAATGCTCTAATATGTTTCATTTATTAAAAGAATAATTAAACTACAAATAAATGATGAGTGTTTGGGTTTGTACTTGGGTCCAAAATAGACCCAAGTGTGGACTTGGTCTCATTTTTTTATTGCCACATAAGCTAGACTATGTCCACTTTAATTGCATTGAAAGACTTTTTTTTATAGACTAGGTCTATTTCCTACATGGCATATGATTTTTTGTTAAGAGACCCAAAGCATTGTGGATGCTCTAAGAGGCCACTTTCCTGGAGTGCAAACTTCTGATGGTACTTTCTAGGAATGTTTTCAATAGTATTGTCACGAGTTAGAAAAATCTCATTTTTAGTTCATATCATATAATACTGTTTGACAAATGAAGACCTGACCCTCATTTGAGGACTTGGTCGGCTTCTATAGTGGACCAGGTCGGATCGAAACTTTACTTGACAAAATATGCTACATATATGCCTATTTTCTGAGCCTTGAGCCTCCATTTACTTTTCCACGTGTCACTTTTCTATTAGTCGTGATTAAATTGTACCAACAGGTATACGTGTCTAAAACAGATGTTATTACTGACTATATATTTGATTCTTTTTTTTTTTAAAAAAAAACAAGTTTTATTGTATTGTGATTATATTTTATATTTATAAAATCGGTATCTCTCGTTTATTATTTTTTTTAAAGTATTTTAAATTTATATAATTTATTAATTTAGAATATAAATCTACGCAAAAAAAATTATTTTATAAATATATGAAACATAAAACTATTTATTATGTTTAACTATAATATTCCTTTATATTTATTATTTTAAACAACATAATAACGTTCATTTTCTTATATAATATATTTAAATTTAGAAATAATATTTTATAATTTTTTTATTATTTATTTTATGTAATACGTAATTTCTATATTTTATCCAAAATCTATAGGAAAAAGCACATTAAATTATTTCTTTTATCCAAAATTAATTACATATTTAGATTATTAACATAAATAATACTTAAATTATATATTTTTAAATTCTATTATTAATTTTTTGAAAAATTTATTAAAATTTTGTATAAATATAACTTGTACGAATTAATATTCACATTTAAGTCAATTGTTAAATATAGTTAGTTATTTTGTCATAAATATGTATTATGGTTCACATATTTATGTTAAAATAGTAAAAGTATTTGAATCTTACATTGAGAAGTTAAATAAAAATGTGAGTCTTAAATTGAAAATAACCTAAATATAAATCTTCTACTATGAAAGAATAAAATTTAGGCTTTAGAATAATATAATTCAAAAAAGTTAACTCTTGTAATCAAATTTAACATTAGAATTTGGGCGCATGTGTTGCAAAATCAAATTATAAGGTCATGAAAAAGAAAAATGTACAACATGTGGATAATAATATTAAACAACACCACCGAAAAAAAAAGCAAACAAATAAATAAAACTATGTTCTACACAGTACCATTGTCACTACTAATTAAATAAAATTATTATTAATTAAATAGAATTAATTAACATGACACATGTTACTCAAGAAATGAACCTAAGATAACAATGAACATGTGTATTGATCATTTTCTCCCCTAAAATATTGTAGCATATTTTATGTCAAGGGCTGTTTATTTATCTCGTGTTCTTTGGAAATTTGAGGGGTTCTTTTTTATTCTTAATTGGATTAGGGGTTTAGGGAGCTTGAAAAATTAGTTTTTTTTTTTTTGTTATGAATTTTAATAAATAAATAATGCATTTTACCCTTTCTGTCAGAAAATAAATGTGCACATTTTTGTAGTCAACATGGTCAGACGAAAGTTTTGTATCAATCCAACGCAACAAGTCAAAATTGTAGGTTGACTTTTACCAATTTATAAAGCTTTTTTATTATTATAAAATTACACAATAATTCCATCATGTGCATATGCAAAGATTACATAAAAATAATACAAGCTTTGTATATCAAAATAACATTTAAAATAAAGTTATTTAATGAAATATATTATATTTATAATTTAATTGTTGCATTAACTCTCTTAGCTGAAATTTACATTTCATTAAAAAATATAAATTACACATTTATAATATATTAATAATAATTAATATATGAATATAATAAATAATGTATTTTTATATCCTTGTGAGTATAATAATAATAATATTAATAATCATACAAGTATCAACAAAGTAAAAAACAAAATAATATAATTTAAAAAATAGACAATATAAATTTTATGTAGTATATATTAATCTTTTAAGATAATAATCATATTAATTATTTTAATAAAACAATAATATTATAAAATACATGTACACTTTGGATTATTTCATCTAATAGTTGTTCATGTATAAATTATAATTTGATACTTATATGTTCATTATTTTTATTACAGAAAAATTGGTTATTATATAATATCACAAACGAACCTATGAGACGAAATAACAATGTTAGTTCTTTAGCACTAATATATAGGCAAAACAAAAAAAAATTGTTACATTAAATCAATACACTAATTTGTACAATTTGTGTACATAAAAATAATTTAAAATAAAAATTGATAAAAGTAACATAACTTGATAAAACAATATAAATATGTACTACTGAATATGTATTACTAAACTAAAAATTTTATCTGTCCCCCAGACTTGTACTTTGCCGCTACGCGCCCAACGAGAGTCACACCAAAAGCTCGAAAATCCTCGCTGGGGAAGGCGCCGAAAGAAAAAAACAAAAGAGGCTAGACGGAAAAAAGGGATTTTTCGGCAGAGATAAATTTTCAGAGTAAATTTTCTCTTTTGATTTTTTAAATTTATAATATAGTAAAATTAGCTGATAGCTCATAAGCTAGCTTATAGTTTATCAGTAATTTTCGAACTTGACTTATAGCTGAAAAGCTAGCATATATGATAAAAGTGTTTGGTAAATTTAGCTGATAAGCTAGCTGAAATAAAAGTTTCAACGAGCTTATTTGAAAAGCTAACCAAAGAAGCTTATGAGATAAGCTCGAGCGTTTTAAAAAAGCTCATCCTACCAAACGAAACTTATTTAAATTCAAGAAATTTATAAGCTAAACTTATAAGTTAGCTTATTTGTCTACCAAACATAACCTTAGTATCAATTCACTAATAAACAATTGAATAGGATGTGTTGCAGCTTTTAACTATTTCAAATGCAACATATTTTGCTAAAAAAATCCAGACGTCACGTATGTGCAAAAGTTAGGATAGTTATATAAAAATCTATTTGGCTTGTGGAAGCCTATCCCCAATGAATGAACATGACCATTAAATGAATAAAATCTCATGGAAACCTAAACAAGAGTACTAGTTAGAGATGTTTGGCAACCATTCCAAAACACACCAATAAATTTCATCTCAACTTTTTTACTCAACGAACAACATGTTTTTGGGTGAGATAACTCAAGGGTTAAGCAAGTCAGAACCATAATACTCTATAAAAACTTATACTATCAAATGTCATGCTTCTATAATTTCTTTTAAAGCATCACATTTTATAATGTAAGTTATAGGTCGAAAAATGTGCACATTTTATATATTTAATGGTGTATTTTTATACATTTAATTTATCTGCACGTTTATATTTTTTTGACTTATCTATTATTTGGATGGATTCATATACATTAATATTTTTGTATTTATTTTCAGCATATTAGAGTATTTTTATGGATGGCGAAACATGAACGTAATTGGCCAAAGGATTAAGAAATTGGGCCTAAGAGTGTACATAGTTTAGCCCAATGGATGAGGATTTATTTTGGGCCCAAAGAAGATGCAAGATGCAGCAAGGGAATTAATTTGATTCCACTCACGCCACACATGTGGGATTAAAAACTGGGAACGTAATTATTTGCGAGGTCTCTACTCGTCAATTTAGATTTAGTTGGGCTAAGGGATTTAATTGGAATTGAATACGCATTGAGTTTGTGGAATCTAAGGGATTTAAGGGGGCTGAAGTTTTATTTGAGAGGCGACATAAAATACGCAGCCGAGATTATTCACGCAAGACCCACAGAGCCGCAACAGAGATAAAGAACACAAACGCGCTGACAGACGGGAAAGCCGACGGAAGCGGAGGGAGACCGCATCCGCACACGAAAGGGGATAATTCTATTCTCTTTCTTTTATTTTTATTTATTATGATAGCTTAGTTTTTATTTCTAGTTCCGGGGAAGTCGAACCCTTTGATTGACTATGTTTTTGATTGATTTATATGGTTGAGGATTTTAATATCTTTTTTGAATTGCTTGTGTTATTTTGAATAATTCACCATGATGTGTTAGTCTTGTTTAGATTGATCACCTAGATTAGACTTTTTATATCTACATCTGAATTAGACCTTCAATCCGTAATTGTTGTTGTGTTTAATTCATAAGAGGTAACCGGAAGATGATAACTACCGGGGATAACACGGCCTAATTAAGTGAACGAACGCGGTTGAGTTCACTACTTAGTCTAGTCTATTTTTCTAATTTGTAAAGCGGCTAATTGTATTAAATCTTGAAAACGTTTTTCTGGACTGTACAAAAAGTCAGGTTTAATCGTAGAGCGTCTCGCGGTTAAATTAAAAATAAGGAAAAATACGGGTAACTGACCGTGCCGTTGCCTAGGGCTAGTAATTTCATAAGATAGCAAGATTGAATACCAAAGTTGATTAGACGAGTCGATCGAGGGTGTAGACGGAACCCTGAACTAGAAAATTCTTTTCATTTATTTTAATTATTTCTTTTTATTTCTTTGAATCTTATTTATTTATTAGGATTTTTGTTAGTTTAGTTATTAAATCCAATTCAATGACGCCACTCCCCGGCAACGGCGCCAAAATTTGACCGCGCGTCGCAACGCGGCAAAATTAAAATTTATATTTTCCTCAACTAACCTCTACTAACTAGTAGTAGTGGCGAGCAAGGGTCGATCCCACGAGGAGTGTGAATCAAATCGTGAATTTTCTCGTATTAATTGAAATTATGAAAAGCAATAAAAGATGGGGGGTTTTGGGATTTTTAAGTACTAATTGAATTATTTTATTTATTTTTTTTAGGATTTTTTTTTATCATCTTTTACTCCCCTTTTCCTTCTTTATTATTATTATTTTTATTTGTTGGCAGAATACTGGGTGCCTCCATACTCTGCTGGACAGAATAGTTCGCCCCCATACTCGCGGGATTGACTAATTTTTGGGCGATTTTTGCGAGCTTTGAGCAACTTGTCGAGAATGGCAGCCTATTATCACGATTTTTATACCCACCAGGCACCTTACCAGTATGAGAGGGAGATACGAGGCCTGTGGATTGGAGATCGAGACGTAAGAGGACCTAGTGGTTGGCGAAGATACGAGCAAGACTATATGTATCCCGAGGAGAACGAGTACGGCTTGAGAGAGCACTCGAACTCTTTTCATGGGTACTCCGAGCCACCACTTGCGCGAGATCCCAGCCCATCGTTAGAGGATATGGTGAAGGCAGTAGAGGCTCACACGTTGAGATTTATACGAGAGTACTGCGAGCCATTAGTTGAGAGAGATCCTGGTCCGTCGCTTGAGGATATGATGAAGGAGTTGACGACTAACACTCTTAGCTTTCAGCAAGGTGTTGAGACAAGCCTCAAGAGTCAAGAACTAAGCATAAAGAATTTAGAAGGCCAAATGAGCCAATTGGCGGAACAAATGGACCGACTAGTGTATCGAATCAAAACGAGTCCAATGAGTTTGAGCATCACCCATTCGTACAGCGAGGACCTCGAGGAACTTGAAGAGTGCACACACGAGCCGGAGAACGAGAAAATAACGAATATCGAGAAGAATGAGAGCGAAAAAGAGAACTAAGCTGCAGAATATGGGTCTGAGCAGCAGAATACGAGGGTGCCCCATACTCGACCTGCTGTAGCCAAAAAGCGTACTGTTCTTCCCGCTTCTGTGCCGATAGAAGCTGAACCGTGTCCTATGTATTCTAATATGAAGTGGGTACTGAGCAAGGATGCACTGAAGCATGTCTTGAGCCTTAATATCCAGCCTCTTGAGACGATCGAGCAAAACGCAAGGTGTAAGTGGGAGTTTAATGAGGCGGTGACCGTGATCGAGTGCCAGCTGCTACACATTCATGGGGAATTAGCATCATGGAGGAAAGATCCGGTGAAACACCCAACGCCGGAGAGTGGGAATTTGGAAGAACATGGCGTGGTGAGATTTGTGGCTCCCTTGAGGCCACCTCGGAAGCCGCCATGGATTCTTTGATGAAAGGGAGCAATAAGTCGGGCCAACGACAATAAAAAGAGGCGCTTGTTGGGAGGCAACCCAATGGTGTGCATGGTTTAGAGACTTCCTCTGCATTTACTAAGGTGAACTCGTTTCTTTTACCTCTATTTTTTGTGATTATTGGTGTCTATGATATATGCAAACTCTAAGTTTGGGGAGGTGTTTCTTGGTGAGCATTCATGATTTATTATGTCATTATATTTTTGCCCCTTAGAGTTTGAGTCTTAGATTGATTGCATGATATTTGTTTGTGTGTGAGCATTAGATTACATGTACGTGGAATTTTGCGATGATGATATGAGAGTCTGTTTGGATTTATTGTGCTAGTTTAAATGGTTTGAGTTAATTTTATTTGGTTAAATTCTTAAGGTGTTTTTATTTTGGGGACAAAGGCATGAAGGTTGATATTTTTGTGATTCATTTGTGGTGAGTTGGTTTTGAGGCGATTTGTATTGTTGACATGTGCTTGTGATTGCTTTAATCAATGTTGATTAAGTTTGGGGACTTGAAGTTGAAAGTTAGGGTTCTATGTCTCATAGTCGAAAAAAAAGAATAATGAGGATGGAGGAATAATTGGTGGAGTTGAAAAGTCGTTTGGCACAAAAAAAAAAAATAAAAAAAAAAATGGAGAATGAGACGTTTAGACTTCGGCTAGAAACGGAAGGGAACTAGGCTTGTTAGCAAAGAGAGGGGTGTCATGAGTTGCATTGATCGATGCATTAGTTATAAAGATTGACAAACTATAGTGGTCACTCGAATCGATACTTGATTGTTTGAGTTCTTAAAATGATTTCATCTTGAGTCCGAATATATTGATTTGAGTTGTTTGAACTATGCACTTATGTGAGAATTGTGAGGTCCTGAGTAATATTCCACGTGCTTGTTTTCTTGTCCATCTTTGTGCTTATAGTTCTAAGTTGCTTGAGGACAAGCAACGATTTAAGTTTGGGGAGATTTGATTGGTCGAAAAATGTGCACATTTTATATATTTAATGGTGTATTTTTATACATTTAATTTATCTGCACGTTTATATTTTTTTGACTTATCTATTATTTGGATGGATTCATATACATTAATACTTTTATGTTTATTTTCAGCATATTAGAGTATTTTTATGGATGGCGAAACATGAACGTAATTGGCCAAAGGATTAAGAAATTGGGGCCTAAGAGTGTACATAGTTTAGCCCAATGGATGAGGATTTATTTTGGGCCCAAAGAAGATGCAAGATGCAGCAAGGGAATTAATTAGATTCCACTCACGCCACACATGTGGGATTAAAAACTGGGAAAGTAATTATTTGCGAGGTCTCTACTACTCAATTTAGATTTAATTGGGCTAAGGGATTTAATTGGAATTGAATACGCATTGAGTTTGTGGAATCTAAGGGATATAAGGGGGCTGAAGTTTTATTTGAGAGGCGACATAAAATACGCAGCCGAGATTATTCACGCAAGACCCACAGAGCCGCAACAGAGATAAAGAACACAGACGAGCTGACAGACAGGAAAGCCGACGGAAACGGAGGTAGATCGCACCCGCACACGAAAGGGGATAATTCTATTCTCTTTCTTTTATTTTTATTTATTATGATAGCTTAGTTTTTATTTCTAGTTCCGGGGAAGTCGAACCCTTTGATTGACTATGTTTTTGATTGATTTATATGGTTGAGGATTTTAATATCTTTTTGGAATTGCTTGTGTTATTTTGAACAATTCACCATGATGTGTTAGTCTTGTTTAGATTGATCACCTAGATTAGACTTTTCATATCTACATCCGAATTAGACCTTCAATCCGTAATTGTTGTTGTGTTTAATTCATAAGAGGTAACCGGAAGATGGTAACTACCGGGGATAACACGACCTAATTAAGTGAACGAACGCGGTTGAGTTCACTACTTAGTCTAGTCTATTTTTCTAATTTGTAAAGCGGCTAATTGTATTAAATCTTGAAAACGTTTTTCTGGACTGTACAAGAAGTCAGGTTTAATCGTAGAGCGTCTCGCGGTTAAATTAAATATAAGAAAAAATTCGGGTAACTAACTGTGTCGTTGCCTAAGCTAGTAATTTCATAAGATAGCAAGATTGGATACCAAAGTTGATTGGACGAGTCGATCGAGGGTGTAGACGGAACCGTGAACTAGAAAATTCTTTTCATTTATTTTAATTATTTCTTTTTATTTCTTTGAATCTTATTTATTTATTAGGATTTTAGTTAGTTTAGTTATTAAATCCAAAACCCCCCATCTTTTATTGCTTTTCATAATTTCAATTAATACGAGAAAATTCACGATTTGATTCACACTCCTCGTGGGATCGACTCCTCGTGGGATCGACCCTTGCTCGCCACTACTACTAGTTAGTAGAGGTTAGTTGAGGAAAATATAAATTTAGTTTTGCCGTGTTGCGACGCGCGGTCAGTAAGTATGCATATTTGTGAAAAGAGTGTGCCAACCTAACAAGAAGTGATCTTACTAAGATAGACGAGATTTTAGTAACGTAATAAATAATACATCCGGTGGATATTATTTCCCGATCGACTAAACTCTTCACTCGATTTCCAAAAGTTAATGAAATTGTTTCGACTATTGGACGAAACGCGCATCTTCCCAATTGAACGAAAACGAAGTCCGGGCTCCAAACAGTAAAAGGCAAGAAGCAAGACCTAAAATTATAAAGAAGTAAACGACAATCCACAATTGTTGGAAATTATAGAAAGCAATAGTTCGAAAAGAAAAATGCAGTAACTTTCTCACGAGTGTATAGTTCAGCACCAAGGCCATGAAGCATCTCTCCAAGTAAAACAACGATCGTATGTCTCTTGTGTATGAAGGTTTTCTGCATCGTTATTCCCCGAGAATGGACAAATTTGAATATTTTCGTTTCGTATCAAGGAATCTTCTCTGTATGCTGGATTCTGATACCTCGGGTGTTGAATAAACGAAACATTTTTCCACCAAAGCTTGAGTGCCTAAGCAGTAAAATGATATATAGCTTCAAAAGCTACACCAATTTTTTCATCATTTTCATTTTTCAAAATTATTCTTCTAACCAGCAACTCTAAAAATCTTTCCACTTCTAGAAGCAACAGTGAAAAGACAATAGGCAAAAGATAAGCATTTCTACCAAAAAAAAAAAAAGATCATTAATAAAGTGAGTTCTTCTTACATGCCAATAAATCCATAATGCAACCTTATGGGGCATCAACCAGAAGAACCGTGAATGATCGGCTGGCGAATGCGAAACTTTTCTCGCTAATAATGAGGCCGTGAAGTAGTTACCGAGTTTCGGATGATGCACAGAAATTACTACGTGCAGATTATCATTCGGTTCGCTCGTTTTCATTTTCCAGTTCCCAAGCATGTCCTGTGATTGAATTGCAAAACAGTAACATTAACTACAAAAACAGAACATAACTGAAATCAAAATTCATTACAAGAGAATGTTCATTACAAACCAATGAGCCAATCGAATTAACTGATTGCAAACAAACCCACCATGAAAGGGCTGACATGAAGAGGTTTCGCAACTAAATCTGAGTTCGGGTTGAACAAAAATGTCACTCTTTCACCCCATGGCGTGTTAGTAACCTGAGTCCAGTATAAAAATAATAATAAAAAAAAGCAGAAAGACCGAACACTTTAGTACGTTTATAAGTCACTTTGATAAGGTTCGATTTACACATATTGATTTGTTAATGAATATCGGACGAACGAACCTCGGCAATGCATTTACTCAACTTTCGGGTGGTGCCTTCAACGTCATAACAATAGTACAAACTCAACGGGTTTTGTACGTATCCCACGCTAGGCGGTATAGTCAACAGAAAACTGGTTTGTTCAATTTAAATTGATTAGTCTTTTTTTTTTTTAACAGTTGTTAGAGATTCTCCAAGAACTTATTAGAAATGTAGAAAACAAATTCAACAATTCTCATACCTCATCAGACCAATATAAATAGTTACAGCACAGTAAAACAAATGAACATATAAGCAGAACTTCAGTACATTTATAGTTCACTTCCATAAGGCTTAGGGCCCAAATGTTCTCATAGCTCATCAGAACCACATTCATAGATGATAAGAACATTTGCAGCAGTTACAGGCACAGTAAATTGGCTATTTGGGCATGCCGATTAAAAAATTCAGAATTTATACTCTGAACAAATTCATTTGCAAGATTGCACTTTTTTTTTTTTAAAAAAAAAAACTAGCNGCCGTCCGCCGCTGTGGAAACGCCGCGGAGGAGGCAGCGGAATGGGAGGAGGACGGAGAGGAAGAAGGAGGTGATTGTCGTCGAGATGATGGAACACAGAAGATAAATCAGCTCCATCTCATCTGGGCTAAAGCATTTGTGCTTTACAAATTCGCATTTTTGTTTAGATTTGTTTGTGGTTTTCTTCGGTAGATAACATGTGGTTATGCTCAGTACACATTACACACACTCTCTACCTCTCCAATTTTAATTTTTTCTTTTCTCTCTTTATTTTGTTTATTTTAATAGGTTTTTTTCTACCTAACTTCCCGTTCAGAAAGCCCAAGCCCAACTCTCAAAAAATTTGGGCCTGGCCAATATTTCAGTTTCTTCAAAATGGATCACATGTAAGGCTATGGGACAAAATAAGTTACATAAGTTAAGACATAAAATTTTTTATTGCAAAATTACCAAATTTATAAAATTAATTGCAAAATTATCAAATTCCTAAAAAATGAATAACTTACATATTTAAATCACCTTAAAAAATTTGACTCCCAAGATAATTGGTAATAATCCCTTAATCTCACGAGTTTTTCTCTCTCTCACCCTCTCTCTTCTTCTTCTTCTTCTTCTTCTTCTTCTCTCTCTCTCTCTCTCTCTCTCTCTCTCTCTCTCTTCTTCTACAAGTTTATATGACGAGATTTTCTTTTTCTGTTCGCGGTGTTCTATTTGCGGCTCCTCGACAACCTGCTGTCGAGAAGAAATCGAGCGTGCTGATGGTGCAATACGCTGCTTCGCCAAGTCTTCATCATCGGCAGCTTCTCGAGCGCGATGATGGTGGACAAGTGACGATTTCCGACGATTGGAGAGATTCCTGATGGTGGACTCCATCGCCTTCTCCTTGTTGCACATTTCTCGGCCGACCGAGGTGACGCCACCGAGATACGTCTGTCGCCGTCGAGGATGGGAAGAACTGACGCCGCTGTGCGTCAGTTTCAGGCCGCCGTTCAGCCACAATACCGTATATATTCTGTATATTGTCCGTATATAGTCTGTATATCTCCCGTATATAGTTTGTATTGCGAGGCATAAATGAAGATTGAATATATACACGCATTATTTTTTTAGATGTTTTTTAGATGTATATAAAAATGTATATGTTATGTATATGTCATGTATATATCCGACATAAACGAAGACTGTGATAAAAAATACCGACATAAAAAAATTTATATGTCATGTATATATCCGATTATATTACGTGTACATTGTACACAATCCCGATATTTTCGTGCGATTTATTGTTCTTCAATTTACCTTTCTATTTTTTATTTATTTATTTTTTTTATGGAAGGAATCCCTTAAGTCGTGGGATACTCCTAATTTTCTACCAGATATTCTCTCTCCAGGCATGCATCCCGTCAGTTACGAGGATCTATTATGGTAAGTCATTATGACTTGATCTTGCTATTATATTGTATGTATATAAATAATTTAATTAAGATAGGTATAAGTACAATTAAGTTATATATTTGGTATATACGCAAATAAAAGCAATTCATCACCGCATAAGTGTAAATTCCCCGATTTAAAATGGCGAGTTCTGTTCATTCCAAAACAAACTCAGGTCCAAAGCAACAATGCAATGTCATAATATTGAGGCCCAAAGCTGAAAATAAAACATTTTTTTCAATTGTTTTCGCAGTCCATTACTGGGGTAGAGGTGGAGAATTGAGATTTTAAACGCCAGCTTTTTGGCGCCTGTGTTGGACGGAACCCGGTTGAACTTTTTGACTTTCAAATCCCCCGACCTGATGTAAACCAGCCCAGGCCAAAAGACATAACTAACCACCTAATAAAAAGAAATTCTATTAAAATATCATAACATACTGAATTCCAAAATATTCTCAAAAGGAAGTTACAAATAAAACAATTAATTTAAAATTTAAAATTAATAACTGATTTATCTATCTTCCGCATTTTATTCTCTTTATTCCTTCTCTCTGTTTTTCTTTTCACGTTTTTTCTTCTCTCTTCTTCTTCAACTTATTTTTCAGTTTCTTCTTCAATCTTCAACACCTGAGAATAAAAACAACAACAACAAAAATAAAAATAAAAAAGATTGATCCAATTTAAATAATAAAATTATCTGACAGTTATATAAACTCAAACAAAAAGGTCCCATAAGAAAGAACAATAAACCATCGACAAAGAGCATAAAAAAAACTCAGCAAAAAATTAAAGTACTTGGATTATAGTGTAAGAAGATTACATATCTTTCAAATGTTGCAACTACAGATACTTGCGAGCACTGGCTTATTACAATGAACATCAATGAAGCAACTACAAAGCAACATTACAAAAACTACCAAGAAACATCAAAATAACTTTGAATTATTACAAAATTATCGATAAACATAAAAACAACTCTCATTGATTTATCAATAAAAATAAAAAAGAGCATTTATTTAGGAATTCAGAAGGGAAAAAAAAAGGACTCACAATTTTTATCTCACAATTTCTCAGACATAATCATCTCACAATTTCTCAGAAAATCATTCAAGTAGATCCAGAAACATCAATGAAGCGAAAAAAAAAAAAAGATTGTTTCTAAAATTTTACACACAACAACAAAAATTTTCATGACAAAATCAACTCACCAAAATGAAATATAAAATAAAACGATCACTAGATTAAATAGGACTCACAAATTCGAACAGACTCACCGGCTTCGGGCCTACTACGTCAAGGATTTCTGGTGTCTAAGGTCCGTGAGAGATTCGTAGGCGGCGACGTTGTCACGGCGGTGGCGGGTTTCCATGGCCGACCTCTCCGTCGGGGATCGCGGTTGGCTATGGGGAATTTGAGGGTAATTAAAGATTCGATGAAGTTGTCTCTGTGCAAACGGAATGGTGGTGGGCCCTATTAATAATAATAAAGAATTAAAGAAAAAAAAAACCGCAACTCTAAATTGGTAAAGGAAAGGAGTAAAATTGGAAACATAGGGACTCAATTTGTCTTTATTATTTTATTAGGGATATTTATGTGAAGAAAAGATCTGATAAGGGGCGTCATTATTCAACTTATGTACTACTGTTGCTATGAAGCCCAATATAAGCGTAAAGGCCCAGATTTGTAAAGGTAGTGGTGTGCCAAAAGCCCGCGATAGTAATGGGCTAGAGAGAGAGAGCCCTCCCAGCCCAGTCGTACACTTAAGAGGTCCCATCAGCTGTTTTGGTAACAAGATATTTAGTACCACATATATAGCAAATTCCATTCTTTTTTGTTTTTTTTCGTTAGTGGATTGTATATACATACACTCATACGGTGTGTGTACTGAACCAATGATAAAAAACGGAGAGGGCAAATCGATTATATATATATATATATTTGTGTGTGTGTGTGTGTGTATATAGATGAGTTTTGATGAACTCTGAAATGTTGATCTAATTGAGTTTGAAAAAAAAATTCACCAATTTCGTATGTTGCGAAATAAAAACTCCATAATCAGTTTTAAAATTTATAAAAAGTTTAGATTTGAAAATTTTAGAATTATAATGTTTTTGTTACGAGAGAGACGACACAAAGTTTGGGTGAAAATCATCTCAATCGGATGATACAACTCTCTATAAACCAAGAATATATACACAAAATTATGGCTACATATAACTTAAGGCTAATACGGTAAATACACAAATATACACAATAACACCCCCCTCAAGTTGGAGCATGCGGATTCCGAATGCCCAACTTGCCAATAAAGAAATTAAATTCACGCTTTCCAAGCTCCTTGGTGAAGATGTCAACGAGTTGTGCCCCAGAAAGAACATGAGTAGTAGAAATGAGACTCTGAAGAACGACATCTCGAACAAAGTGGCAGTCCACCTCAATGTGCTTAGTGTGCTTGTGAAAAACCGGATTCGCCGCAATATGCAGTGCAGATTGACTGTCACAGTGTAACCACATAGGCTGAGAGTGAGCGATACTAAGAGTAGATAACAGTCCTTGTAACCACTTCAACTCGCATAATGTAGTAGTCATCGCCCGATATTCAGCCTCAACAGAAGAGCGTGCCACAGTAGATTGTTTCTTGGTTCGCCAAGAAACAGGAGACTGACCCAGCTGAATAAACCAACCAGAAAGAGAACGCCGAGTGAGAGGGCAAGACGCCCAATCCGAATCACACCACGCATAGAGTTGAAGATCGCAGTCAGTACGAAGATGAATCCCCTGACCAGGAGAGCCTTTCAAATATCGAACCACACGCAGAGCAGAGACCCAGTGAGCCTGACGTGGTTGATGCATAAATTGAGAGAGCATATATATGCACTGAGTAAGACAACTCAGGTCGAGTCACTGCCAGATAGATAAGACGTCCGACTAAATGACAATATCACTCGAGATCAGACAATAGATCACCCTCAGCAAGAAGAAGCTGATACCATGTTACGAGAGAGATGACACAAAGTTTGGGTGAAAATCATCTCAATCGGATGATACAACTCTCTATAAACTAAGAATATATACACAAAATTAGGGCTACATATAACTTAAGGCTAATACAGTAAATACACAAGTATACACAATAACAATTTTTAAGAATCCCAAACTAGATGTACAATTTGAGAAGATATATATGTCAATATCTTAGTCACATGAAAACCATCGAGTCAGAAAAATTAAAATAGTGACAGAGCATGAAACTTTCCATNATATGGATGTTATGTACCCATGTATGATGTAACTTCATCTACAACAAGTGAAATGCATCAGATATTACATTACATCAACCTTTTGGCAGCCAAATGAAAAGATATATTACTACCCTTTCACTATCACTATAAAGTTCAATGTATAAATCAGTGGCCAAAAAATATGTGTATTGTCCCAGGCAACGTTTTTCTCAATTACTTTGATCACATGCTGTCTGCATATTATTTCTCAAAACAGTTCATTGGACCAAAGTTGTGCGAAAGCAGTTTCTGCTATGTATTTAAAGACTTTACACTATCTGAACTTTGTAAGCCCACCGTACCAAGTTGCTGTTGAGTCAAAGAAGGGGTTGCGCCCACTTTCTTTTGACATCACACAATGGAAGAAAAAAAGAAGCAGCCCCAATTGCTTGAAAATTGTAAAAACCGGAGGTGCTGATTTTTGTTGAAAAAATCAGTACACAAATGTGGAAAAATATGTGCAATCCCCATCTATAAATAGAGGAGAAAATGATGAAGCAAAGACACCAAAAACACAAAAGAAAAACACGAGAAAAAAAAAAGAAGTGATCGGAAGCAGATAAATTTTTAGCTTCTGTGTGTGTTTGTGTTGTGGGTTGTGAGTGAGTCTGAAAGTGTTTTGTAAACACGAGTGTATTTCTTTTTTCTTAATAAAATATTTGCAGTAGTCTGGAGACGTAGGCATTATTGGCCGAACTCCGATATCAATTTGGTGTGTCCAATTTTTTATTTTTTATTTCACTTTTATAGATCCGACGTCATGGAAAATTCAGCGTATTTTTCCCAACAACTGGCATCAGAGCCAGATTGTTAATTCTGTATTTTTTTGTGTGGTGTTACTATTCCGTTGAAAAACGTGAATAGTACCAATTTTGTCGGCGCTACAATTTATCTACCGACGTGTTTTGAAACACGGTAGTTCACAAAAATTACATAAACGATTCGGCAGAGAAGTCAGATCAGTGTCGAAGTGATGGCTGCAGACGAAGGAAAAATGAAAATTGAAAAGTTTGGCTTTTGGAAAATGCAGATCGAGGATTATCTGTACCAAAAGAATATGTATCAACCACTCACAGGAAAGAAGCCAGAGGACATGAAGGAGGAAGAATGGAGTCTCCTTGAAAGACAAGCTCTTGGAGCCATTCGGCTGACGTTATCCCGTAATGTTGCTTTTAACAT